GTTAGTTTTTATCACATTTAGTCGACATCATCCCATTTTTATTTAGTCTAGTTTTAGTCGACTATAAGTCGAGCATTTTAGTCTTTATTTTAGTCCAAGAAAACATAATTTTATTCGTTTAGTTTTAGTAAAAAAAAAACTGTCAACATTTTAGTCTAGTTTTAGTCAGGACATCATTTTAACCTTTTACTTTGTTGTCAGCAGATAATATTAAACATTTCCTAAAATTATTTCACATTTCAACATTTTCTCTCATCTTTTTGATAAAAAACACAATTTTAAGGAACACATGCAGACATGGAAGATGTACTGACAATATTTTCATATTTATTTTGAACATTGTTAAGGTTCAAAGACACATAAAACAAATAAAATACACCTGACAAAGGAAACAAATAAATAAAATAAAGTGTATTATGAACTTAACACAAGTGCTGGCTGTTTAAAGCTAGTTCACATAGAATAAAAAAATAAATAGATTTGAGGTCAATGTTGTGAAAAAAAAAAAAACTCCAACTGATACAACAAAAGTGCTTTCCTGCCAGCTAGTTCACATGGTATATAAAGGTACAGTATTTAAGGTGAAACAAGGCATAGCTTGCTAGAACGTATGAAATCTTTTTAAAGCGTCTGTCTGCTTTAATCAAATTTAACTGAAACTATAGTTGCCCGGCCAGTATAACATATCCAAGTTAGCATAAATTTAACTTCACATACAATTCTATCAACAAGTGGCTACGGTCGCTACGTGCTAAGAAGCTAACGTAACATAGCCAGCCTGGATACTAAATGCTATGAAAGTTAGCCATCATTAGTTAGTTTATCATTGTAACAAAATGTGTTCATATATCACGTCTCTTCTTTCTCCCGAGCCCCGCGCAAAGCATGTTTACTTTTAACCTGTCGCCGCCGCCTCACCGTGAATCCAGCTCCTGTCTGTCTGCTCCGTGTGTTGTGTAGGCTACTCTGACTGACTGTGCTCGCCCGCTTCAGGTTTGAAAGTGGGTGTGTGGCGGAAGAGCTGACGAGGAGGAGGCGGAGGAGGAGACAGTATTTGACAAAACCATATCATATAATAATATGTAATTTTCGTCTCGTCTTTGTTCGTGAACTAAAATGTCCATAGATTTTAGCCCAGTCTTTATTTACCGAACTGCATTTTCGTCTCGTCTTTATTAGTCTACGAAAATTATTTCTGATTTACTCCCAGTTATTGTTTATTAGTGGGGATTTTAGTCTCGTCTCGTCTAGTTTTCGTTCGGTGAAAAATGTGCGTTGACGAAAATATTTTCGTTTAGTTTTCGTTAACGAAATTAACACTAATTTATACACACACAAACACATACCTAAATGACCTGTACCTATTTTAAGGATGCTTCCAACCCTGGTATGAATAGCTAATTAAAGGGATACTTCACCTCTGGAAAGATGAATGTGTATTTAATAGGGCTGTCAGTTTAACGCGTTATTAACGGCGTTAACGCAAACCCATTTTAACGGCGTTAATTTTTTTATCGTGCGATTAACGGTCTTTTTGTCCTAGCAAACTTTGTAGTTTTTTCACATGCTTTTGCAACAGGACGCGGCATGCGTCCTGGTCCATTTCGGCATCTCGCGCTCGTCATCCACTCAAAGCCGGCTCACAAGCCGAAACGTGTGTTTGTGGCGTGCCTGTTGTTTTGTTATGGTCTAGATCCAAGCCATTGAAATGAAAGGGTTTCAGAACGCAGCGCGAGGACGTTTTGTGCCGCACACACACTCGTTTCGGCTTGCGAGCCGGCCAAATAGTAACGTTACTTTTGAGTGGATGACGAGCGCGAGACGCCGAAATGGATGCCCTAAGATTCTGAATGGAAAGTTTACTTTTAAAAAGTTGCCAAATTATCCCATTGACAAGACGAAGTGATCTGTGTGTTTTGTCGTTGTGAACTGAGCTATCATCATCGCAGCACGTCCAGTCTGAAACACCACTTGATGATGGCCAAGCAAACACACACACACACACAGATGATGCGAATTCTCCACCCCCTCGTCAATATCAGGACCTCGTCAGTATTTCTTTCACCCTTTTATTGATGGAGAGTGTTACATTGTGTGAGAGATTATTTATATATGTTAGTGTGAAATTGAACACTATTCCAATGTTATTTTCAATAATAATAATAAAAAAAACATCTGCACTAAACAAGCCAATCCACTTTCCCATGTTGATAAGAGCATTAAAATGAGAAAAAAAATAATGTAACAAAAAGAAATCAAAAGACATTTAGAATAGATAAAAATGTGCGATTAATCGCGAGTTAACTATGACATTAATGCGATTAAATATTTTAATCGTTTGACAGCACTAGTATTTAAAATGGGTCATTTATGTAGAAGAAATGTGAAAGAATTTTTGAATCTGGAGCTTTCTAGACTGAGAAAAGCCAGAAAATGTATTTTAGGTGTGTATAGGAGTGTTGGGAATTGCATGCTAAGTAGGGTTGGGTATCGTTTGAATTTGAACGATTCCGATTCCTTGTTTCGATTCCGGTTCCTAACGATTCTCGATTCCGATTCTTTTAAGAGGCAGGTTCAAAAAAGTTTAGCTAACCAACGGCCTTTCTGAAGGAAATTCTCCTGTCACAAATACTCCTTCTGTCACAAATTTTGCCGAGATTTCGTTATTTTTAGAAAAGTGAAGCCACACTTTGGACCGCAGGCGTAAGCTACTCATGTTCGACTCGCGCGGTTATGCCAACACTTCCGGTAGACGCTTCTTCGTTGGTGTTGTTCAGCGGTTTCTTCTTCCGCTCGGCGTACTGTGAATATCGAAACTAGGAATCAAAATTTTAACTTTTGAACGATTCCGGGAAAAACGAAAAGTTAGTCCCGGTTCCAATCGATACTCGATTCTCGATACCCAACCCTAATGCTAAGTTAAGATGTGTTCCTCTTGTGCAGGCGGCCATAGTGAGGATCATGAAGATGAGGAAGGTTCTGAAGCATCAACCACTCCTGGCAGAGGTCCTGAACCAGCTCTCATCACGCTTTAAACCCAGAGTCCCCGTCATCAAGGTCAGTCATTCCTCTTTTACAAATCCAGAGATTTGCATCAGCGTTCATACTCACTTTGGCTCGTCTTTTCTATTCTGCAGAAGTGCATTGACATTCTCATAGAGAAGGAATATCTGGAGCGGGTGGACGGAGAGAAGGACACCTACAGCTACTTGGCCTGAACATTTCTTCACTCCTCCATGTCTTTACATGTCTGTCTCTCTCTCTCTCACTTTTTTTTAAGTTGTCTCTCGGGAAATAAATATCATTCCTCTTGATGTTCGGCCTGTGTTGATGGGAATGTGAGAGTTTAAAAAGGATAAGGACTAACAGAAGAGGAGCGTGTGTGTGCGCGTCAGTGAATGTTAATATTCGAGAGATAGACTTTACTGTTGCCCTCCATATGGACAGAATGCATTCAAAATGTACATACAAACAGAGACCTTGAGCTTTAATCTCGCAAAATAAGACATAGCAGGTTTAAAAAACCCAATCAGAAATAAACCCTACACGACATTAAGCATGCTATTGCCTATCAACGTTTAAATGAAGAAGAAACTGAAAAAAAAGATGCATTGAAATCTTAGCGAATAGGGGCTTCAGAAGTGTTTTACGAGAAGAAAGGAAATCATTTAGGAAAAAGGTGCAATTTTAGCTGCACACGCCAAGAAGGAACGAGTCGGACAGGTTTGTAGACATGTACTCTGCATTGTTACCTGCTACCTGAAAAACCATTTGTATAGTGTGGTTCACTTTTTTAAATGTGTGTTAAATAAAAGAATTAAAAGTTTCTCTATGTATTTCTGATGCTGTGAAATCACTATGTGAAATGTTTTGGTTATTCATAAAGTTTCTTTTTTTAACTTTCCAAGAACAAAATATGGCCTGGAACTAAAATTGGTCCGTGAAAGTAGGTGCTGAATATAGTATATTACTATTAATATTTTGTGAGGGTTGTCCGTTTTAATTGCAGTGTGTACACAGTTAAACATCAGTTAAACATTAAAGGAGTAGTTCACTTTAAAAAAAAAACTTTTGCTGATAATTTACTCACCCCCATGTCATCCAAGACGTCCATGTCATTCTTTCTTCAGTCGAAAAGAAATTAAGGTTTTTGATGAAAACATTCCAGGATTTTTCTCCATATAATAGACTTCAGTGGGAACCAAACGGTTCAAGGTCCAAAAGAGAGTTTCAGTGCAGCATCAAAGCGCTTTAAACGATTTCAGACGATGAATAAGGGTCTTATCAAGCGAAACGATCGCTCATTTAAAAAAAGAAATAACAAAGTTTAAGTTTTATAAGCTCAAATGGTCGCCTTGCTCTGTTCTGTGATGCGCGATCGTGACTCTACTCTTTGAACTCGTTCATAAAAATGAACGAATCTTTTTTTCGTGTCATTTGGTTCATTCAACCAACGAAATGAACGAATGGACTCGGGAAACGATTTGTTCATTTGAAGAACGAGTTCGAACAGGAGAGTCACAAACGCGCATCACAGAACAGAGCAAGGCGACCATTTGAGCTTATAAAACTTCAACTTTTTTTATTTTAATGAGCGATCGTTTCGCTTGATTATTCATCGTCTGGAATCGTTAAAAGCCTTTTGAACAGTTTGCACTGAAAGTGTCTTTTGGACCTTGAACCGTTTGGTTCCCATTGAAGTCCATTATTTGAAAATTTCGAATTTCTTTTCGACTGAAGAAAGAAAGACTTGGACATCTTGGATGACATGGGGGTGAGTAAATTATCAGCAAAAGTTTTTTAAAAATGAACTACTCCTTTAAAAAAGAACTGCCAGAGAATGTAAAATTATGTTTTTTGTTTTTTTTTAATATAATATTTAATTTGAATTGAATGCACCATTCGCTATGAATGTCCAGGTACGTTTGGCACGGCGTTTAGTCGACGTCATCATGGCGCTGCATGTATATGATTGGGTGGTTCATTATTACATTGTACAGGTGTGTGCGTGAGCTGAGCTTGTGTGTGTGAGATGGAGCCCGGAGCTGAAGCTGCGTCCGCGGGCGTGCAAGTGCGCGATGAGCTCTCCGAGAAGTGTCAGAAGTTATTTCTGGAGTTTTTGGAAGAGTGAGTGCAGTTGCGGTACTTTTATATGAAGAGACAAATAAGCTTAATTTCTAAAACGTGTGATTGATCAGATTTCAGGATAAAACTGGCGACGCTTTATATCTTTCCGACGCGCAAGAGTTGATCAGGCCGGAGAGGAACACACTGACCGTGAGCTTCAGTAACATCGAGCACTACAACCAGCAGCTCGCCACCACCATTCAAGAGGAATATTACAGGTGAACAGCTCACTTTCTTTAAAGGGATACTCCACTGTTTTGGAGATAGACTCATTTTACAACTCCCCCAGAGTTAAACGGTCGAGTTTTAGCGTTTTCTAATCCATTCAGACGATTTTCTGATATTTAGATGAACATCAGTAACCAGACAGTTTCTGGTCCCATTGACTTCCATAGTAGGAAAAAATATATGGAAGTCAATGGGACCAGAAACGGTTTGGTTACTGATATTCTTCTAAGTATCAGAAAATCGGCTGAATGTATTCGAAAACGGTAAAACTCAACTGTTTAACTCTGGGAGTTGTAAAATGAGCCTATTTCCCAAAAAAGTGGAGTATCCCTTTAAGAGGAATAGATTTAAATAGGCCAATACGAAATAGTCTATGTTTGGATTTTGATCATCATTGCAGTGATGTTTCTAGCATGTAATGTGGCAACAGTTGTTCTAAGTAAGTTAACCTTTGATGGAGTGACGCATCATGGCCATATTCCAGGATGACAATGTCAATATTCATCACACTCAAACTGTAAAAGAATGTTTGTGAGGAGCATGAAGAATCACATGAATTGCACATATGAATTGTCAACTCTGAGTCCAGAGCCAGACCGATATTATCGGCCGATATTAGGCATTTTCCAAACTATCGGTATCGGCAGTAGACCATTTCACAAGATGTAAACAACACTGGTCCAGAAGCACTTCCTGTTTCAGTTTGTAACTGTTTTCTTTATTTCACATGTAAAGAAAACATCTTAAAGATGTTTGTTTAACTTTTTGATTCAGTTTTAAATGTTCCGTTGGTTGTATTTTATCCCAGCTTTTATGTAGTGTTAAAAAACTGAAACAGGAAGTGCTTCTGGACCAGTGTTGTTTACATCTTGTGAAATGGTCTATACGTTATAATGGACGAAACATTGAACCATGTCATGAGTGTTGGAGTTGTATAGTTTGTCCACCAGATGGCACTCTACACCGTTCCTGTTTGCAACACTCATTGAGTTGGTCACAAGACATACATTGCTTGAATAACAATTAAAAGAACATCCCCATCAGTTCTCTTAACTCAAATAAGCAAGACAAAATTTGTGACTATCACGTCCAGTTTAAATAAATAAATAAAATATCGGCCGATATATCGGAATATCGGATTTTAAAACCCAAAAATATTTGTATCGGTATCGGCCTTACAAAATCCTTTATCGGTCGGGCTCTAATCCAGAGCTTAAATTCATTGATGTCTATTGGATGTGCTGGAGGAGACTTTACAGAGTGCTGGACTCTTGCATTGTCAATACAAGATCTTGACTAAAACTTGATGCACCATTTGATGGAAATATATGTTGTGATGTTCTTTCCTTCAAGAGGTGCATACGTTCATTTATTTATTTATTTATTTATTTGTATGTATATTCATTTGAATGTTTGCTGTGTTATTTGCGCTTATTGCAATTTTATTTATTATCCCCGAACTCTTAATATGCAAATTATACACATTCATATAGGTCAATGCAAAAATAAATAAATAAATAAATAATGCATGCAATTAATTATAGCTAACTATATTTCAACAACACTACACACAAAAGCAATGTGGCAGTACGATGTTATTGTGATGGCAGATATTGCCATATAAAAAAGCCTTGTACTTCGTAAAATCATAGTACTTTTTGAGACTTTTATGAGCAAAGGTTTTTATAAAACAAACTGCCATATCCATTCTTAATTTTAATATTTTGATATATATATATATATATATATATATATATATATTATCAAATGTTTTAATCAAATGTATAAATACATTTCAGTATTATTGGAAAATGATTCGTCTGTGAATGAATAAGTCATCGGTTTGCTGCAGTCATAAGCTCATATTATCTGTCCTAATGTTTTTTTTCTTCAGGGTTTACCCGTTTCTCTGCAGAGCAGTTCGCCACTTTGCCAGAGATCATGGAAATATTCCACCATCCAAAGAGTTTTATGTGGCTTTTTCAGAATTTCCATCTAAGCAGAAGTAAGTATTTCTGTTCTAAAACTTAATTTTTTTGTACCACTTGACCTTTAAATTAAAGTCTAAGTCTGTTTTGACCCTTAAAATGTATGCAAATTGCCTGTTATGATTGGCTGACCTCTTCGCTCTGTGCTTCCCAGGATCCGTGAGCTGTCCACCGCCCGCATCGGCACTCTGTTACGCTTCAGCGGTCAGGTGGTGCGAACCCACCCCGTGCATCCCGAGCTGGTCAGCGGCACCTTTCTGTGTCTGGACTGTCAGTCTGTCATCAAAGATGTGGAGCAGCAGTTCAAATACACACAGCCGACTATCTGCAAGAACCCAGTGTGTGCCAACCGCCAACGCTTCATGCTCGACACCAACAAGTCACGCTTTGTTGACTTTCAGAAAGTAAGACGATACAGTTTTGACTTCTTTTCCCAACAGTTTGCAATTGCAGCTACTAGCTACCAAGGTTTCAGAAAACATCCAAAATAAAATATGAAAGCTTTTGATTAATTATAAAGCGTTAGTTATAGGCCGTTTTCATTGAATGAGATATTGCTCTTAAAGAAAAACCAGCTGGAAGTCTCCTAATTTTACATTTTGCTTAAAGGGATAGTTCGCTTTGAAATACATTTTTTGTATGTTTTAGCTTACCTCAAGGGCATCCAAGATGTCGGTGTCTTTGTTTCCACAGTAGTTTCAAATTTTCATATTTTTAGGTCAAACTGTTCTCGTCTGTCAGTCATATAATGGAGGTCTATGGTCACCACCTCAAAGAGCATGCACAGAGAAGTCCAAATTAAACATGATTTAATGACTCGTAAATATAAGTACAAATTGATGGCCTAAGACACGAAACGAGCGGTTTTTGTGAGAAAACGAACAGTATTTATATCGTTTACCTCTTGTAACGGCCAAGTGATCTGAGGGCGCGGGTGCTTTGTGGCTGTGGTCACAATAAATTCCCAAAGGACGAAATCAAGCCCTCCCCTACATTTTTTTTTTTTTTCTAATTTCAGAAGCCGTTTCACTCAGATATACGTCACAAGGAAGAAATGACAATCTCAATTTCCGTTTCATGCCGACTTTAAGTGATTTTGCCGAAAATTGTTGCTTGCGTTTATTATTTTACAGGGCAGAAAGCATATTTAAAATTGTGTACATGCATGAAGTGTGTCAAACCTTAAATGGTGACTTGATTTTGTCCATGATGAATTATTGTATGGTGGTTTGCTATTGGTGGATCTGATGCGAGTGATAGTTTGCCCCGCCCTCATGCAGTAAACATGTCATCAGACCAGAGATGTTGCTGCAAGGGGAAGGGAAGATGTTTTGATTAAAAATGGAGGACACATGATTTGAACAAATTGCAGATAAATCATTTCTAATTAATACTGCAGATCCATTAAAAAATATAGAAATTTCCATCTTGATTTCATGGTGACTAAGTTTAAATAGTTCGTTAATCAACTTTTAGAAAATCGAACCGTTTCCAACCACTGAGTTGCTGATCACAAAAAGTTGACAAGTCCGTATCACTTCATGCCAATTTAAATTGCTATATGCACATTTGTGCATGTGCAAATTCGAAATAATTGCTAGTTCAGTTTAGATTTTGACATTTGTCCTAATTAGCCTTTTCGCCTGAAATTTTCGGTGTAAATATTGGTACATTATGATCTTAATTGATTTGATTCTGATGGTGTGAGATGAATGGGTAGTTGATCCTGATCCTGCTTGACTTGTTGAGGTGCGGATCCAGGAGACGCAGGCGGAGCTGCCGAGAGGCTCTATCCCCCGCAGTGTGGAGGTCATCCTGAGGGCCGAGGCCGTGGAAACGGCACAAGCAGGAGATCGCTGTGACTTCACCGGCACACTCATAGTTGTGCCTGATGTGTCCGCCATGGCACTCTCTGGTTCTCTTCTAATTTTCGAATAACACAGTAGAGATTTAATAAAAGTAAAATCTATAATTGATGGATCTGTCTTTACTGTATGCAGGAAAAAAAGGAAAGCCATTTGAGTCATATTGGAACATTTCTTATCTTTCTAGGCACGCGGGCCGAAACCAGCAGCAGGGTGACGGGGAGGGAGGGCTTTGAGGCTGACGGTGTTCAGGGGCTCAAGGCTTTGGGTGTCAGAGAACTCTCCTACAGACTGGCCTTCCTGGCTAACCATGTGGCCCCAACTAACCCACGGGTAAGAGCTGTTCATCACAACATGAATTGCAGTGTTGTAGTACTCGGACTCGTCTTGGACTCGGTCTCGAGACCATATTTTAATGGTCTTGGTCTTGTCATGGACTCGAGTGCATTTGGACTCGGAATTGACTTGTACTCGAACATTTTTTTTTTAGGACTCGGACTTATTCCCGAGTCCACTCGAGTTCAATTCAAAATATTTTTCATGATTATTAATGTATGTTAATAAAATATTTCTGTAAATTGATTGACACGCCCAGTAATTTTCTAGTGCGCAACTGCGCATGACAAATTGTAATAAAATTTACTTTTAACACCACCTACTATGTGGCCTTTTTACCCTAAACTGATCATATTTTTTAAACTCTAAGTAAATTCAGTAAAATAAAAAGGATTTCTCTAAGTAAATAAAAGTAAATTAGGTAATCAACCCTCACTGGTCTCGGTCTCGACTCGGACTCGACTCTCTCTGGTCTCGGTCTCGACTCGGACTCGAGTGAGGTGGTCTCGACTACAACACTGATGAATAGACCTTATTCAGAGCAGCGCCATGACAGGTATGAAAGTGAGGCTGTGAGGGATAGACTTACTGTGTTTTCAATGGCATCCGCTGTAAAAAGCGGAATAAAGCTCCTAGATTACTTACAATTTTCCACAGCTTACATTGTCAGGAGTTTTTTGTCAACTGACATTTCATTGAAAGGTATTTTTCCTGTGTTTCATGAGCAGAACAATCCGAAAACACATTAAATAACAATACAGCCCATTGGAGAGATGCAAGTCTACCCCTCACAGCCTCGCTTTCATTCTCATTAAAAATCAAAGATGGCGCTGCCGTGAATAAGGCGTATTGTAGCAGATATGCTACAAGTGCATTCCGAGTGCATTTTGACTCGGAATTGACTCGTACTCGAACATATTGGGAGTCGGGACTCGGACTTATTCCCGAGTCCACTCGAGTCCCATTCAAAATATGTCATGATTATTACTGTATGTTAATATTTCTTTAAATTGTTGTTTGATTGAAACGTCCAATGATTGCTGACTTGAGACTAACGTTCGCGGCACGCAAATGCAGCAAGACCCAGGTCAGATGTGATGTGGAGCCTCTTGCTCAACTATGTATTGAAAATGTCTGCCTTACCATCCCTAATTCAGTTTGTATATAAGAGCCACACAGAATTCGTGTGCAGTAATGTTCTGTGAAAGAGCACTTACTGATTGTAAAAAGTCATATAAGAAAATTACCTTTACACCACTATGTGGCATTTTACCATTACAGTGGTATGGTGCCAATTTTATTGTTACCACCAAATATTTTACATTCTTGAAGATATCTTTATCTGGTTTGAGACCCAACCTTAGGTTATCTAACCTCTCTGGTCTCGGACTCGACCCTCTATGGTCTCGGTCACGACTCGGACTCGAGTGAGCTGGTCTCGACTACAACATTGAACAATGAGCCAAACATTATAAACACCTGATTAGTATGCTGATGCCAGACCTCATGGCTTCTACAAAAACCCTGAAGGTCAGCAGCAGATTCAAGTCCTGTGGTACATGTCAAATTTAAGTCCTCATTAATGGCCGGATCCAGGATTTCCCAGCAGAGCATCCCAGTGAACTTTGTATGGGGACACATTCCTCCCATTATCAAAGTTTTGTGTGAGTTGTGCTATGGTAAACCTGTCTCAGTCCAGATGGGATGGCCTTTGTGGATCAATGAGCTTTGGGCGCCCAACAAACCTCTCACCAGTTTGTGGTTTGTTCCTCCCGCCCCGTCAGAACACTGTTGGTAAAATCTCACCACTGATGACCGGTACCCACTAACAAGCCTTGCCATAACAATTTGGCCCTTTCAGAATTCCTCGCATGTTTATTTCTGCCCATTTCTTCTGCATCTAACACCTAACGAACTGATTGTCAGAAGTAGCAATATGTAAAATTTGGGAAATCGAGAGGCAGCTTGTTGCTGAAGAACTTTACTAGGACTGGTGTAATTTTTCTCCGGATAAGACACACTGAACAACATATCGAGTTTTTACCCAATTATCCAAAGTTATTTGCTCAGACTTTTATTTTAAGTTTTAAAAACGACACATTTATTCTTGTGTTTTTTTGTTGTTTGTTTGAATTAAACCTTCAAGTTACTGTACATCTTGTTAGTTTTGTGATTAATGTCATTGCAATGTTTTTAGTTTGGAGGAAAGGAGCTTCGTCAGGAGGATCAGACAGCTGAGAGCGTGAAGAACCAGATGACCGTGCAGGAATGGGAGAAAGTGTTTGAGATGAGCCAAGACAAGAATCTCTATCACAACCTCTGCACAAGTCTCTTCCCAACCATTCACGGTGCTTGCCGGTCATTTCTCAATGATCATGTAATGTTCATTGGTTCTACAGTGTTTTCTGTAAATGTGTGAGACTTGATTCAATAGCCATTGTAGGTAAATAACTAAAGAATAAAGCAGTGCAGTAAATGGTAAAACTAGTTGCACCACAAACCAATGCATTTATGGTTACAATGTAAATTAAAATTATTTCTAGACTTAAATACTGGAAGTGTATGACGGTTACAAATGGCCAAACCTATTCTAACGTTAAAAATGAGGTGAATAGGAAAGATATTAAGAGTTTGAGGCACTTAGTATGAAGTTAACAATACTTCCTTGATCACTTCGGGCCAGTTGTTCAAAGGAAAGCTGATCGGATTTTGGTTATCGGATTGGATCAAATCTTGAAAATGGGTTGTTCAAAATCTGAAATCAGATTAGATCAGGGAATTCAATCCTAGTTTTAATCTGGATCAAACCTTCAGTTTGTGTTGTTCAAAACTTGTCAGTGGGATTTGGATAACTTTGATCCCAAAAAACAGGATTATCCTGATCCCAACAGGGGGTTGGATTTCAAGGTGGATTTCAGGAAGAAAATGTAGTAAAACTTTAAAATTGGTCACATAATACATTTGTATCATTTAGTGTTTATACTTTTATTTATATTTTGCACTTGACTTGTATAACCGTTGTAACAGTCATAAAGTAGACATAGGCTAACAATTAAGATATTCAGTATAGTAAAGTAAAAAATAAAATAAAAATTATCATCCCCATTTGTGTTTTGTCTCAAATTAAGAAACACTTACAGTGACCCCATGTTGGCTCTTCTACCTGTTCTTTGCCCACATTGTGATATGTTGTCCCATTTAGAGCACTGGTAATCTTGAAAACTGTGTATCTGGATCAGGCTGATCCAGTCCAATGTTGCTTTGAAAAACCGCCATAAAAGTAAGACGGATTACCTGATCCTTGATAGGAAAAAATGGGATTTCCAAATCCGGATCATTTTGATCCAGATTAAATGTTTTGAACAACTGGCCCTTCATGTTCAGAGTAATCTCCAGTCTTTCTGTTTTGAACTGCCGTCTGCTAGACCGCTTGCTTAATAATCATTTTTGGTTTTTCAGGTAATGATGAAATTAAACGTGGGATTCTGCTGATGTTGTTCGGTGGTGTTGCAAAGACGACCATGGAGGGGACGTCTTTACGCGGCGACATCAACGTGTGTATAGTTGGAGACCCGAGTACATCTAAGAGCCAGTTCCTCAAGTAAATATTATGTGTGAAACTCTTTCTCTGACCATTTAAACCTAAAATACAGCTCATTAGAGTGTCTAATAGCTGGATGGGGATGTATTTGTGTTTTTTCTCTCAGGCACGTGGAGGATTTTGCCCCCAGAGCGGTGTACACCAGTGGTAAAGCCAGCAGTGCCGCGGGTCTGACTGCCGCTGTGGTCAAAGACGAGGAGTCGCATGAGTTTGTCATTGAAGCAGGAGCCCTCATGTTGGCCGATAATGTATATTTCCTTTTAACTTTTCCTGTAAATCTGTCAGTATGTGGCTTTCGTATTAGCTTTCTTGTTCCAGTGTTGACGTATTTGTGCAGGCCAATCCAGAAGTCATCACCCTGGTTCACTCGACGAAAACCCAATGGGATTTATCCATTCTCTTTTGGATTATTGCTCAATATAAGCTCTGTGACCAACAAAAGCTTGTTTTGTTCATCATGATTAATCTTCACAAATGAACACAATTTAGCCTACATGCATTCACCAGAAGTAAAAAATAGAGCCTGACCGATGAAGGATTTTGAAGGCCGATACCGATACAAATATTTTTGGGTTTTAAAATCCGATATATCGGCCGATAATTTATTTATTTATTTTTTTTAAACTGGACATGATAGTCACACATTTTGTCATGCTTATTTGAGTTTAGAGAACTGATGGGGATGTTCTCTTAATTGTTATTCAAGCAATGACCAACTCAACGAGCGTTGCCAACAGGAACGGTGTAGAGTGCCCTCTGGTGGACAAACTATACAACTCCAACACTCATGACATGGTTCAAGCGCGTTTCGTCAGTTTTTATTTTATTTTTGAAATATTCATTTATCGGCCATTATAACTGCCGATACCGATAGTTTGGAAAATGCCTAATATCGGCCGATAATATCGGTCTGCCGATATATCGGTCTGGCTCTAGTAAAAAAGCTGAACGTAGGCTATAAATAACACTAGTCGCATGATTTCGTCACCACACTTTCGTTAAATATTTCAGTCTTAATTTAAAAAAAACATGTTGCCTGAAAGTTTGAGTTACAATAGTTTGCAAGAGTGTAGTTATAAACACAGAGACTTGTGAAAGCGAGTGAGTAGAATTGGTTTACCTGTTCAGACGATGATATTTAATGTCCCCGACAACCTCTGTCGTCACATTTTGCCACTTGTTAACAACCTTTTTTTTCAAGACAAGTAAACGCTTTTTGATGCCCTTTTTTGGCGCCTCCTAGTGGTCTAACCCTAACCCTACCCCAGACCTAAACCTACCCATACTCTGCATGTTATATTGATGCCAAAGGGTGCCATGTGAGTTGGATGTCTACGCTTTAGCAAAAGCGTCGTACATGACGCCTTGGGATGAGAATGCGTCGGTATTACTGATTTTCAGTAGTCAACATTTGAATTGGATCAAAACCTTTCATCAAAGTTATACATGAATTTTGAACAATACCTGTGAGCTTTTTTTGATCCACTTTAAATGTTGACTAATGTATTTTCTGTTGTAAAATAAAATATGAAAATATCTTGATCTTGTCCACCACAGACCTTATTTCAGGCATTTAACCACAAACCCATTGACTTCTGGATGATTGAACCTGAAGTTATAAAATGCTGACTCGTTTCTAGTTTTTGGCCTTCAGAAATGGATCTTCCCTGCAGCACTCTGTGCGATGATCTGATAACCTCCCAGAAAATGTAATACCCTTTCGTGTCTTCTTTATAGGGGGTTTGTTGTATCGATGAATTTGATAAGATGGACCTTAAGGACCAGGTGGCCATCCATGAAGCCATGGAGCAGCAGACCATCTCCATCACAAAGGCGGGCGTTAAGGTGTGTGTCCCTCATTGTCTGTTTAATCCATAATCCACCATATCTAACCATTTCTATGTGTTCAAGGCCACTCTGAATGCTCGCACCTCCATCCTGGCGGCTGCCAACCCCATAGACGGCAGATATAACCGCGCCAAGTCTCTGAAACAGAATGTCAACATGTCTGCACCCATCATGTCCAGATTTGATCTTTTCTTCATACTGGTGGACGAATGCAATGAGGTCAGACCATATATCATTAATTATATTAGATGTAGACTACGTGATGTACAATACAGCATTTGTCTTTATTTTTCTACCAGGTTACGGACTACGCCATCGCCCGTCGGATTGTAGATCTTCACGCCAGGAACGTTGAGTCAGTAGAAAGAGTTTACAGTACTGATGAAATCCAGAGATACATACTGTTCGCCCGCCAGTTTCAACCAAAGGAAAGACACTATTCGTTATTCAAGTTGCCATTCACTGAAATTGCCATTCTAGTACTTTGTTGTAGATCTCAAATTATTTTTGGAGCTAGACAATCTGAAGAGTAACAAGTAAGAGATAACAGACCTCATAACCCTGCATCTGTAGATAACATCAGAGGCTCAGGAATTCGTGGTGGACCAGTACAAGCGTCTGCGGCAGCGGGATGGTGGAGGAACCACCAAATCAGCCTGGCGGATCACTGTGAGGCAGCTGGAGAGCATGCTACGTCTGTCTGAAGCCATGGCCAGACTCTACTGCTCAGATGAGGTCTGTCTGGTTTTAGACTGTAGTACTTAGACTGCTCCCATTAGAGTTACAAATTACTTTGACTTATGCCGTCATGCTTCTATTAGTGTTACTGGACCTGAGCACTGTATTTGACGCTATCCACCACAACATTGTTTTGAATGGGCTTGAAATTTACATTAGCATTAGTATGGTTTAAATCGTAATTATCTGACTGTCATCAGTTAGTAGCAATAAGCGAAGCGGTATCATCACAATCACAAGTTCAGTGTGGAGTACCGCAAGGCTCAGTACTAGGACCTTTTGCTTTTCACCCTGTACATGATGTTAGTTTTCACTGTTATGCTGATGACAATCAATCTAATTTCTTTGTGGCCTGACGAAACATACCAATTCACAAAATTTGCAGAATGGAATATTGGAAATCCTCCTAAATTGTGAAGAAAAGTTCTTATTTATGTGACCAAAAACCTCCACACATAGTTACCTAGAATATTATAACACTTAATGGCTACTCTGTCAGGTCTTCGTTGCCAGTTAGGAATCTGGTTTTGCTCTTTAATCGCAATCTTTCTTTTAAAAGCCACATTTCTAGCATTTGTAAAGACGGTGGATGATGAGAACTGATTCTCCAAAGCTTGCTTTATAGATTCAATTATTTCATTCTATAATTAATGAAATTTACGTCGTTATTGAACTGAACTGAATCAACATTAAACGCTTCTCATCAGAATTGAATTTTGTTTGCATTTATTGAATCATTCTTTCTTGTTTATCTGTATTTTCATAAGTGCTATATAAATAAATGTGACGATTTGTCAGTGGTCTGCCCATAAACTGCTTCTACATACACCGATGTGCATCAGACACAGCTTGTGTAGAGTTTGAAATGTGTTCTCTTCCTTTTCCTTTGGAAAGGTCCAGCCCAAACATGTGAAAGAAGCGTTTAGACTCCTGAACAAGTCCATAATTCGCGTTGACTCGCCCGATATCAATTTTGACCAGGAGCAGGATGACGATGTGAATGGTGAGATGGCTGTCTTTTATACTGTTCAATTCCTTTTGTGAAATAGGCTTGTCAGATATCTCAATATAATGAATCTGTACTCTAACAGTATGAAATAAACCGTTTGTTTGCAAATGCTACTTGTTGTTAACCCGAAAACCGTATTCTGGACAAATGTGGGCAAAATAGTTGATTTATTTTTTAAAAATACTTCCCTTGATCTGAGCGGTACAAGACTTGGCTACTTTTGCTAAGTTTGCCTCCTGAACACACAATTTTTTTTGACTCAATTCTACAATGTTTAGTGGGTGAAAAAAAACTCCTTAATCTTGTATTTGGGTCAAATATGGGCACCCATAGAAATGAAAGGGAAAAATTCTACAACCCGAATTCCGGAAAAGTTGGGACATTTTTTAAATTTGAATAAAATTAAAACTATATGACTTTCAAATCAAATTTGGAAATATTTTATTCACAATAGAACATAGATAATATAACAAATGTTTAAACGGAGAAGTTTTACACTTTAATCCACTAAATGAGCTCATTTCAAATTTGATGCCTGCTACAGATCTCAAAATAGTTGGGACGGGGGCAACAAATGGTTGAAAAAGCAATAAATTTAGAAAGGATTGAGGTGGGAGAACATCTATAGCAACTAATTAAGTTAATTGATATCAGGTCTGTAACATGATTAGCTATAAAAGGGATGTCTTAGAGAGGTAGAGTCTCTCAGAAGTAAAGATGGGCAGAGGCTCTCCAATCTGTGAAAGAGTGCGTAAAAAGATTGTGGAACACTTTAAAAACAATGTTCCTCAACGTCAAATTGCAAAGGCTTTGCAAATCTCATCATCTACAGTGCACAACATCATCAAAAGATTCAGAGAAACTGGAGAAATATCTGTGCGTAAGGGACAAGGGCGAAGACCTTTATTGGATGCCCGTGGTCTTCGGGCCCTCAGACGACACTGCATCACTCATCGGCATGATTGTGTGAATGACATTACTAAATGGGCCCAGGAATACTTCCAGAAACCACTGTCGGTAAACACAATCCGCCGTGCCATCTCCAGATGCCAACTAAAGCTCTATCATGCAAAAAGGAAGCCATATGTGAACATGATCCAGAAGCGCCGTCGTGTCCTGTGGGCCAAGGCTCATTTAAAATGGACTATTTCAAAGTGGAAAAGTATTCTATGGTCAGACGAGTCCAAATTTGACATTCTTGTTGGAAATCACGGACGCCGTGTCCTCCGGACAAAAGAAGAGGGAGACCTTCCATCGTGTTATCAGCGTTCAGTTCAAAAGCCAGCATCTCTGATGGTATGGGGGTGCATAAGTGCATACGGTATGGGCAGCTTGCATGTTTTGGAAGGCACTATGAATGCTGAAAGATATATAAAGGTTTTAGAGCAACATATGCTCCCCTCCAGACAACGTCTATTTCAGGGAAGGCCTTGTGTATTTCAGCAGGACAATGCAAAACCACATACTGCAGCTATTACAACAGCATGGCTTCGTCGTAGAAGAGTCCGGGTTCTGAATTGGCCTGCCTGCAGTCCAGATCTTTCACCTATAGAGAACATTTGGCGCATCATTAAACGAAAAATGCGTCAAAGGCGACCACGAACACTTCAGCAGCTGGAAACCTATATAAGGCAAGAATGGGACCAAATTCCAACACCAAAACTCCAGAAACTCATAAACTCGATGCCCAGACGTCTTCATACTGTTTTGAAAAGAAGAGGAGATGTTACACCATGGTAAATGTGCCCCCGTCCCAACTATTTTGAGACCTGTAGCAGGCATCAAATTTGAAATGAGCTCATTTAGTGGATAAAAGTGTGCAATTTCTCCGTTTAAACATTTGTTATGTTATCTATGTTCTATTGTGAATAAAATATTGGCTCATGTGATTTGAAAGTTGTATAGTTTTCATTTTATTCAAATTTAAAAAACGTCCCAACTTTTCCGGAATTCGGGTTGTAAAATAAGCCTTAAATAAGACACCAGGTGACCGCAAAGTCACTTCATCTTTAGGCTTTAGCTCTAAGAACTTAATGGAATGATATTTGAATGTAGTTAAAACATTTTTTTTTAAATAAAACATAAAAATAAGCATAATTTACATAGAAAATATGGTACTTTTTGAAGTAAATAAATTCAAAAATACCCCCAAAATAAAAACACCACAAATGGACAGACAAAACTTTATCGAAGACAGTGATATAACATTTATAATAAATAAAAATTAGAATCACACCTGAGTCCTCTGTGCCCACATTTGTCCACAATTACAGGATTAAGGGCTATAAAGTGAATACGGTTTGAGGGCTAAAAGTGTCTGAAGTGTCCGAATACTCTTATTTTGTTACAGATGCATCACTTCCATTACCATTTACCAATCATTACCAGTTATTTTATTATTTCCAGCAATGAATCAAACATCAGAGGTCTTGCGGTGTAGAAGGAACTTGACTGATTTCAGTTGTACTTCCACAGATCAGAATGACATGTTTGGTAAAGAGACAGAAGGTCAAAATGGAGGTGAAGTGAACGGTCATCCGGTGGAGGCCATGGACACTGAGCCGGAAAAGCCGGCGGTAACCAAACCTGCTATCAGAATGTCATTTGCAGAGTACAAGAGAGTCTCCAACCTGCTGGTGCTACACATGCAAAAGATGGAACAATGCAAGTCTCATTTTTTTCCTTCTTACATTACTGTTTTGTTCATCTCTGAAACTTTAGCTTTTTTATTTTCCCCGTTGCGGTTTTATGTGCAACAGTCAGTGTTTATTTCTTTGATGTCATTCCTTTTTTATTTTATTATACATTTAACAGGTTAGCGGTGTCATTCTTTGCCATGTAAACAATGCATTACTGTGCTATTCTTAAAGTGACTGAACAACAAACTTTGGATTAATTTTGATCTCAAAGCTTTCCAGGAAACCAGATTGTGAAGAAGTTATAAAGAGCATAAACTGAAGGATGAAAGCATATCTGAATGTGTCATTGATGTTAAGGAGGTTTTTGTTTTTAGTGGATGAAGAGTCATCTCTGAAGAAAAGTGAACTCATTAACTGGTACCTGAAGGAAATGGAGAGTGAAATTGATTCAGAAGCTGAACTCGTCGCTAAGAAGAACCTCATTGAAAGAGTGCTGTACAGACTCATCCATTATGTTAGTATGCATTATCACTCTTTATGACTGTTTTTAATGTCTTCATTGCATTGTTTAGTTGAACTGAAGCGGTGTAACGTGCCTCTCTTTCTTTTTAAGGATCATATCATCATAGAGCTGACTAAAACAGGGCTGAAAAAGATCAGCGAGGAAGGAGAAGAGCCCGTCACGGAGGAGGATCCGTTTTTGGTGGTGAATCCCAACTATGTACTGGAAGACTAGTCAAGCTGGCTTTACCAACCTTGATCATTTTTAGTGCTTCTGTAATCTTAAATAATGACTAATGTAATATGCAATATTTGATTAAGTGAATGAGAACAAATAAATATATATTTGCATTTATGTGCCATTTTTGTTTATTGAACACTAGGTGGCGGGATCTATTCAGTATCTTTATTTGACTAGTGCAACACAGTAATTCAACAATAGTCAGGGATATCAAGCCATTTAGAGATCAAACAAATGGAAAATTTCACAAAGCGTTAAAGTTAGCCTTGTTTTGCACCTTAAAAGACAAATGTACAATATTTTGGGAGGGAAGAGAAAATTGAGTGTTTAACTCTTACCTCAATGTGACAAGTGCTGAATCATATTCATTGTAGTAAAACATGCAGTGTTTAATTTTAGTTAATCTCATTCCTAATTTCTGAGGTTTTATCTCATTTAAAGGAATAATGTAGCATGTGATCTGTAAAGCCTTTGGGAAGGTTATTAGTCCTGCAAAACAAAGCTTAAGGTTTGTTTCCTGACATGCTATGTGGAACTTTTTATTAATCTTACTTGTTTAGGCTATATTTATATAGAAACAATTTAATGTCATGGAGACAGGGGACATCTTGGAAAAAGTCTTCAATTAAAATTGACCACTTGCTGACCTATTTTATTCGGTTCACTGACTCATTTTATTGATTCTTTTTATTAAAATCATTCAAATATTATTAAATTGAAATTCAAGCTTAGTTTATGAAAATGTACGTTGTGTCCAAATGTCAAGGTTTCATGTTTCCAGCATGCATTTTAAAATTAAAGTATAAACTTATACACAAACGATGCAGTCACAAGGTCGTAAAGAATTTTTTGGTGTACATTTTTAATAATATAACACATCATGTGTTATATTTTGTTCTTATATTAAAAACATTCTCTGTACATTTGGACCCTCTCACACTATTCGACACTTTTAATATCGTATCATATATTTAATAAGATTAAATTCGTTTCTCTTTCCTCAGTGATGTCTTTGCTGTGCACGAGTTTAGTTCGTTCGCGTGCGTAAATGCGCGCGCGGAGCTTCCACCTGAATGACGTACATCATGGAGAGCGGATATAAAACATCAGCGCTCGCGTGATGTCGCCGTGATGTCGAGAGTTTATTCCACCTCATGACATTCAGGATGATTTATCTTCGTTTCAAATAATATTCATCATTTCAATCTTCGGCTGTATGTGGATTTTGGTGAGTTTTCACTTCATATGTTCGCTATTTTGGTAAATAAGTTGTCAATCCATGTTTTCTGTGATGTCAGTTGATAAATGTTCATGTCCGCTTTTATTGTGTCTCTATATTTGTTTGTTTTTTACTTCCACCCCTCCTTATTCTGTTCTTTTCTGTTTTTTTTTTTTTTTCACGTTTAAAGTTGTTTGGCAGAAACTAAAAAGACAAGTTTTCAGTGTTGACATCAGACAAGTGAACTATGATTCCGCCCGGAGACTGTCTGTATGCTGGAAGGAAAAGGAGAAAACCTGTTCAGAAACAGTTGAGTATTTATCAGTTTACTGGAATTGTTTTATTGACCATAAAAATAATAAAAACAACGCAAAATGCGTAACTAATGATAATAAATATTTAAATTAATAATATTAGTAATTGACAACCCGTCAATACAAATCAAAACAAGAAAATCTGTTATTAATTATGTGTATATTGTTATTACTAGTAGTGGTTATAATATAATTATTTAATGTTTCATGTTCAGGTAACACTTTAAGGTTTTATTAGTTAACATCACTTTACTTTTACAGTTAACATGAACAATACTTCAACAGCATTTATTCATCTTAATGTTCAACATTCACTGGAAATCAAATGTTATATTTTTTAACATTAGTCAGTGCACTATGATCAAACAATGAACTGCTTTATTTTTTTAAACTAACATAAACAAAGATTGTTAAAATAACAAAAGGATTAGTCATTGTTAGTAAAAACAATTGAGACCTTATTGTAGAGGGTTAGGCTACACATTGATATCAAGGCTCTTTATTTACTTTACACAGTATCAAAACAATGAAAGTCGATATATGTTATTATTATTGTTAATAAGCATTATTAGTAATTTGTTTAATGTTATGTTATGTTCACATAAATGAATACATCACCAGTGTATTGTAAATGTGGTGGTGGAATTTCTGTACCATTTAATCCTGTGGATAAAATGTGACATTATTAAATGATAGTTTGTGTCATCAGGAAACCAGAGAAAGCGGGTCAAAAATCGAATCCGTCCAAGCGTCACCGTGACCGTCTGAACGCAGAGCTGGACCGGTTGGCGAGTCTACTGCCCTTCAGTGCAGAGGTCATCTCTAAACTGGACAAACTCTCGGTGCTGAGACTCAGCGTCAGCTTCCTGCGAGTGAAGAGTTTCTTTCAAGGTAAGAAGGAAAGTTTCTCTGAGAGTTTGCCTGCTAAAAACTGTGACTTTCTACATACTTGCATCATACATTGACCCCAAAAAATTATTAGAATGCTTTAAAATAAACGAAACTTAGTTGGTGTTGGTTTACTGACCTGATTTGACCCACACATCTTTGTGTTTCACTTACGCTGCTGAAATTGGATTTGTCTCTTGACTTTTTTTCCCTTGCATATTTTTACATAATTCCAGAATGTTTTATGGTCACTGTTTTTGTGGTTTACATTTTTTTGGATAATAGTAGTACGTTTTTCCCATATTCTTTGTATTTTTAGCTTATATTCTCAATTTGCATGTTTAATTATTTACAAAACAAAAGTACAACTTTAGGAATTAGATCACCTTAAAGGAGTAGTTCACTTTTAAAGGAGTAGTTCACTTTTCCACGTCATTCTTTCATCAGTCGAAAAGAAATTAAGGTTTTTGATGAAAACATTCCAGGATTTTTCTCCATATAATAGACTTCAATGGGAACCAAACAGTTCATGGTCCAAAAGACAGTTCCAGACGATGAATAAGGGTCTTATCAAGCGAAACGATCGCTCATTTATAAAAAATAACAAAGTTTAAGTTTTATAAGCTCAAATGCTTGCCTTGCTCTGTTCTGTGATGCACGTTCGTGACTCCTGTTCAAACTCATTTATCAAAATGAACGTTCATTTGGTTCATTTCATTCAATGAACAAATTGATTCAGGAAAAGATTCGTTCATTTTGATGAACGAGTTTGAACAGGAGAGTCACAAACGTGCGTCACAGAACGGACAAAGACGAGCATTTTAGCTTATAAAACTTAAACTTTGTTGTTGTTTTTTTTTTTAAATGGCCGATCGTTTCGCTTGATAAGACCCTTATTTATCGCCTGGTGTCTTTTAAAACCCTTTGAACAGTTTGCAGTTTGCACTGAAACTCTTTTGGACCTTGAACCGTTTGGTTCCCATTGAAGTCCATTATATGGAGAAAAATCCTGGAATGTTTTCATCAAAAACCTTAATTTCTTTTCGACTGAAGAAAGAAAGACATGGACATCTTGGATGACATGGCGGTGAGTAAATTATCAGCAAAAGTTTTTTTTTTTTTTTTTAAGTGAACTCCTTTCAATACAGATTTGTATTGTAGTTTGTGGCCATACTGAGCCAATATGCTGGTGAGTAGAAATGCAATTCTTCTGCTGTTAAAAATAGTGTTTGTTATGGGATTTATTTCAGGAGGTATAAGGACAGGTCCATGTGTAGCTGTATGAATGAGCGCTCAGTGTAATGTAGCACTCATGCTGTTTGTTGTGACCATGTTTTATTGCCCGAGTGTCCAAACGAATCAGTGTTGAGCTGCTGTGTGGAGAGCTGGCAGTCTCAGGTGGGCATGTATTTGAACTTATAAAGTAATGGAGAGGAATAAAAACAGTGATCTTTACCAACTAAAAAGGAAGGAAAGATGTGGGCCCACCGGCCCAGCATCATATGCAATGTTTGGGAAGCTATTTTGAAACTAGTTTGCAAAGCAAGTCAAGCTAATATAGTTTAATATTGTTTCAAAGTAGCGTCACATTGATAAACAAGAAAATAAGTGTTGGTGATGTAAAATTAATCTGTTATGAAGAATTATTCTGGTCAAGTCAGTTCAGTGTTGATTCACTTCAGTTCAGTGTTCATTTTGCAAGGTTGGTGGCATTATCCAACTCAGTTCAGTTGATATAGAGTTAAAACAGAGTCAGTGCTGTTAAATCCATAACATTACTGAATATTATCCTAATTGTCTTGTAAACTGCCTAGTCTTGTTATATTTAGTTTCTCCTCAGATCTGGAAAGTTACGTCACTTGTGTGTTCTCAATAAGTGGAATCTGCATATTTCTTGGTGCTTTTGCCTATGGTTTATTTGTGATTTTGGATAGGTTTCACAGAACGTACTTTAAATAGTGAAAGTCATAACTGTCATAGTCATTTATAATGCATGATCCGACCCTGAAAAACATCGCATCTCGGTTTGTGCCAACCTTGATCTTTCAGTTCAAATAAAATTGATGTCTGTATTAGTGTTCAAACATTGGCATTTTAACAAATTTATCTTCTCAAGGCCATTTGCATTTTTTGGTCTGCTCCCATTTTCCGTCACCTTCATTTAAGCCATAAATTATAGCCAAGGCCTTGACAGTGTAGAAATATGTCAGAAATTCTAGTCGGCTTGGAATTTAAAATGTGAACCGTAATGTCATCAAAAAGGGTTTCATGGAAAAGTGTCCATTGTTACATGGAAATATTTGTCAAGTTGAAGAATTTGCTTTAAATAAATCCTTTCTACCTTTAGTTTTGCGATGTACAGTAATTTCATATTTTGCTAATGATTAAAATATTTTTCTGATATGAATCCACTGAACAAACTTCATATTTATCTGACATTTTCCTGTTCTTTATTGAGTTGGGTGGTGTCTTTAGGAAAGAAAAATCTCTTTTTTCCCAGTTGTTTCTCCAAGAATGTGAGATTTAAGTTAGAGATTTCAACATGAGCTCAAATATTTCTCATCAAATTATTTCAAAACCAAAGAATCAGAGCTGCTACTCAGAATCATAGCTCTACAATAGATTATTATTCTGAAAAAAAATATGTAATTTGTTAATCATACCGTTATAGTATATATCAA